TTTTTTTTTTTTTTTTGAGAAACACCCTTTCCTGTGCTAGTGCTGCTGATAAGAGCAGGCAGTACTAGCACCGGAGGAGAGGCTCTATCTATTGGTGGGGAGCGTCACCTGCTGGAAACCGGGTCCAGCGTCCCATTTACAAAAAGAAAAATAGTTCAGAGATTCTGGGACCAATGACCATGAGTGGCTGTGGGGCCTGCCAGCATTGATTACCCTGCAGTATCAGGGGATCAACTGAGCAGGCAGAGGTACTTGTGAGAATCGAAAGAATCGAGAACATCAGAAAAGCGGCTAAGCAGCCTTAGCTGCCGCCATAGCTGAGCAACCACTATGCAGACCTTGGAGAACCTTGGCGAGCTGCTGTCACTTTTTTATTTCTTCGCCTTCAAGAGGAGGGCGCCAGATAGAAGATTTCAAGCCTTGAGAAGCTGCTGTCACCTTTGTATCTCTTCACTCTCAGAAAGAGAGCGCCAGATAGGCAATTCATGACTGATACTGGGAAACAACCGCTCGTTTAGACAGCTCGCCTGTCTGCCCTGATGCTTATTCCAGGGCCTGTATAAGCCCAGTTTGCCGACTGTCCCTGCCAGTTTGCCAACTGTCACTGCTCCGGCTGCAACAGCAGAGGTTAGCAGACGTAATGAACAAGCGGGATCCTCCCCAGGGGGCTCCAGGGAGGAATTCCTCGCATGGCCCAGAGGGACAACAAGTCAAAAAAGATGTGGGGGGGTTGTCGGGAGATATTGTCGAGAGATATCGTTATCCTTTTCAGACCAGGATTTCCATCAGTGAAAGGGCATGAGGAGGGAAGGGATCTGGGAAATCCGTGGGGGGGCGCAGTGGGAAAGAGGCCTCTATGTTGGTCCAATCCTTGAAGACCAGCCTGTAGTCTCTCATCTCTTCTAAGTTTTCCTTAATGTGCGTTTGTGCTCAAGGTGACGAGCAGTGTGGCTCCATGCAACTGTATGCTGTTCCTGCTATTTGATGTAGTTATTTAAGCATAGTAGTTATGCCGATGGTCGGCGCCCCTGGATTGGTTGGCGACCGACCAGCCGACCATTCCACCGGTGGACACCATGGTAACCCCGGACCTGGACACCGGACACTTCCGGACTGTCTTCCGGACCAGTGTCTGGACCGGTCCGGACTGTCCGGTGATCCGGACATTACCGGACACCCGGACATCACCGGACCCGGACAGTCCGGACTGGTACCAGGGGTGCACAAATGTCCGGACCA